GCTGCTCCCTGATTTCTTGCTATTCCTCCTAGTTTTGACTATTGTGAAATTGTAATTGTCTCCTTTAAGTCTTACAGTCCTCTTCAGCAATGAAACTCATCTTTTCCACCTGCAGAGAAATCTCCCTGAAGGAAACATCCCAGTGAGATGGGAATTCCTTTCCCTGCTGGCATTTAGAACTCCCCTCCTGCTAATGCCTGTCATTTTCTGTGTTAGAATAAATAATAATGAAATGTTTTGTTAGAATCAGTAAAACCAAAATGGGATGGAAGTGAAAGGAATTGCTGGCAGCTCCAGGGAAGTGGGGATGTGTGAGAAGTTAAACCATGTCCAAGTCTAGCACCCAGCAGCAGGAGATGCTAAAACTCTTAAAATAGAAAGGGAAGCTGCAGACTGGAGAGCCCCTGTGCTCTGATCATTTCTGGAATGAAGATGATCCAGTTTGGAGCAGAAGCCACTTGTTCCTGACCCTGCTTAAACTGCATTTCATCCTGGAACACAATGGAACCCACTTCTGTTCTTTGTCTTGCAGAAACACTCAGGTGGGAGAAATCCTGGTGTTTTCCTTCCTGTCACCTGCATCCCCTTACGAAGCAGTTGGAGAGGATAAATATTTCTTCCTTGAAGAGCAGTAGAAAATTCAAGTGAGAAATTCTAACCTCAGCAATGTTTATTTGGAGAGAGAACAAATTCTGCTGAGAGGTTTTGAAGGGACGGAACTGCTTAAATCAGAGGGTGATATTTGCTAGGACTGGGCAAGAATAAGGGGTAAACATGGCAATTCAGAGAAATCAAAGCCACCATAAACCAGTCAGTCAAAGGGGCTGTAGTGAAGAGGGGACCAGCTTTATACAATATTTGTCTGGTTGATAATACTGCTTGCTGTATAAATAAACATCCAAGTGAACCTTTTATTGCTTTGCACACATGTTTTCCACAGCTGACAAATGTGGTTGTTTCTGTAGCTGGAAAACCTCCTGCAGATGCTGCTCTCAAAGCTGCCCTTTGTTGGAATTATAAATGCACCCTATTCTGAGTTTATTTGTAAAATTATCCCTCTGAACCTGAAGTTCTCTGTCTGGCTTTGTCGCTTGTTTTGTTTTTTTTAACAGCTGCAAATGTGCAGATCAGTTTCTTTCCTTGGAACTGTTCAATGCTCAAATGTTTATTTTTAGGCAGAGGGGATTGCCAGAGTGTCACCAAGTGCATTCCACTGGCCAGATGCAACTTCACAAGTCTTGTTCAGAATTTTCCTCTTTCTCACCATTTCCCCCTGCCTTTTTTTTTTTTTTAATCTCATTCCTTCTCTTTGAGTTTATTTCTTTCTGTTTCTCTTCCTACCTGACCTTCCCACTCCACCTTCTAAATTTAAAAGGCTTTCCTTTTCTTCTTATGGGTCTATTTCCTTATCAGAATTATACATTTGCAAGTCTTGCTTAATTTTTTTAAACACCTATTTGGCTTACGATGATAAGACTTCCCTTAGAAATATATTTCAGCTAGTGAAAAAGGCTTAAAATTTGAAGCCTATGGATAGGATACAATTATCATAAAATATTACTAACTGTAGATTATTTTACATTTAAAACTCTGGGTAATGAGGGCTGCAAAATGTGGAAATACCAGATATGTCCTCCAGCTGCAGTAAAGTTTGGTTGGATTTTTTCCCCCCATTCCTCAAGGCTCCTCAGTGGTTCCATGGCAGCCTAATGTGCTCTTGTTGTCCCAAAATCGATGTTTTTGGACACTGGAGAGATGTGCACCACCATCAGGAAAAGCACAGAGATAAATCTTTGCAAAAGTTTATCCTTCAAATCCAATGAGATATTTTTGAATGTTGTTGTAATAAATCAAGACAAATGCATATTGAAAGAATCTGTAACCAATGTTTGTAAAAACCAGCCTTATTTTGAGTGTTTGGTGGTGCTGGATGAAGGAGTCAGATTAACTTAATGTTTTTGGAAAATGCCTTGCTGAGGATTCTGCCCTCAAAGTGATTTTCATGGTAGAAAAATGGGAATAACCAAGGTGTAGGGATTGTCTCTGGGATAATACTTTGTTATGTCCCTTAGAAAAACACATCCATTTATTTTTGCATCTCAGGAAGTTATGGTAATGCTTCCATGGGGAATTAAGGGGTCCTTGAATTGAACTTTCTGCTGAATTTTAATTTGGTTCATTACTTTACTGTCATTTAATAAAATGCATTATTCTTAATTTCCTATCCTAACACACAGTGCAGAATTCCCATGACAATCCATAAAAATTGTGCTTCATGCAACAGATAAATATGATTTTGGAGCACTCAGGATGGAAAGTAATATAAATGTATTTACCTGTTGAGTCAAATTTAAGCAGAATCAATAATTAATAACAATATTAGCAAAGGTTTACCCTTATAATTTCACATTTTATTTCTCCTTGAAGCTCTATCTGAGTGGAGAAGCTCTGAAAACAGATAAAGGATCGTTTTCCCTGGTGAAATTTGGGAGTGGCTTTTCTGATGGATGACACAATCTGATGACCTCAGTCTGGTTTGGATCCCTCAGCAATGACATTAAATGAGGACACTGCTGTAGGTGACATCACATTTTCCTGGCTTCAGCTTTTGTAATTTTGGATTCCGTAACTCTGCTGGCACGAATGCAGGGTTGGGCTTTGCTGCTGTGAGCAGCTTCTTTCCCTGCTCTCACTCAGCATCAGGTGGAAGAAAGAAAGGTGAATATTTCACTGCCTAAATTGGCTTTTAGCATTTGCCAGGATGCAATGTGTAATTATTTGTAAAAAATTAAAAGAGTGAAAATTCCTAGTGTTGGTAGAAGGTTGGCCGGATTGTACCTTCAACAAAAATAACTCAATGCATGAGATCAAAGCACAGCACATGAAGCTACTTCTGCACAAATATGTTTTAGAAATTGTGCTGGTAATTCTGACATTATTTGATGCCCTCTGCTCATATCTCATGCAGCAGGAGACTCCACCCAAACAGAACAGTCTAAAATGGGAAATGGACCCACCCAGGGCAGGGGAAACTCTTTAATCCTGGATATCTTCCATGGGTTTCCAAATCACTGCATTCAGTTTCTCACTTGATATGGACTGGAAAGGCTTGAGATAATGACAAATTTGATTTTATCTCAACCTTTGCCAGCCCAAGCAGTCTGAGGGCTTTGTGCTGCAGCGATGGCTGAGTGGGAGGGGTGGCCAGGCCAGAGCAGCAAAGAACACCCCAGAGAGCCCTGGGGTGTGCAGGATGAAAATGAGGTGAGAGAAAGGGGGGTCACAAATTGAGAGAGATGAGACTCTAAACCAACAAATCTACCTTTGCTGCACTGCAGGAATATTCTGTCTTTTGATCTTGTAGGTGGTTTTGGTGAGACATTTTGTCATCCTGCCACTACTTGCCAATCACCTGTCTGGAAAACACGGTGTTCAGCAAACCTGAAAATATCCTCCACCCCCTTGGGATGTTGAGTTCCTTCAGCTGCAATTCCGAGATCTCAGGATGGTTTCAGGGAACAAACAGCAATTTCCTCATTGTCTCACCCGAAGGTGATGCAGATGTTTGAAATCCCCGTGCCTACTGCACAGATCAGGAGCACTAAACATTTCATCTTGATTTCTCTTCAGTACCACCTACTTCCTGGAAAATTTGGAAGCCTCGCATTTACCACTTCAAATTCTCTGCCAAGTTCCTTTCAGATTTTTGGTTTGGATTTTTTTTTAAATTTTTTTTTTCCTGCTCCATTTTTGTCTCACACGTTTATTATATGGTGACAAATGCAGTTTTCTTCTGACACCACATAATAGATGTGTGAAACACACACACATGTTCTAGTAAGAGACTGCTCTTTATTTCCTGGCTCCAGTTGCAAAACATGAGTCAGGGTTGGAAAGGTTGTGCCTCTGTCAGAGCTGTGGAATCCACGTGCTTAAACTTTCCTGGGTTTTGCTGTAGTCATGGGGAAAAATGGCAAATCTCATTTTTATATTTCTATAATCAGTGTTTTCTCCTCCCCCAAGCACATCAAATCTTCATTTTATAATAGCCATTCCCATGTGTTGATTATATTTACTCATTTCAGGCACTGATGCTGTTATTTACAGGGAAAAAAACACCTCCAGCTTCCAAAACACAGATAAAAGTACCCTCCTATAATTCTGGCTTTAATACAAAAAAAGAAACATTATTTTAGTGGTGCATTTGCTGTGGATTTCAAACACTTTTCCCCCTCTGCACCAAGCGATTTCTGCTGTTCTGCTGCATAATTGCAGGTAACAACCGCCCAGCATCTCCACAAGACTCCGGTGACACAACATTCCTTGTTTGTACATCCCAGCTTCCACTGTTCTGTGCACTTCTGTGGGGGCCCCAGTGAAACATCAAATCAGCTCAGACCTTTTGTGAGCTAGAGTGGAACAAGCCCCATGTTACAAGTGAAAACAAAAACCAAGGAAAATGAGCAGGCAAAAAAAACCCCACCAAAAACCAAAATAAAAAGAGAGAACTGAACACATCATCACTTCCTACTGGATGCAGCCTTGGAATGCCACAGGGCTGGCAATTGTTCTGCAGATACCCAGGGGTGATTGGAAGCAGCAGGACCATGGTGCTTCCGTGTTAATCACAAACACAGTTTTGCACAGATTTTTTTTGTTTGTTTGTTTTTCCCTAAGCAATTTTATCCCACAAGATCCCTGTGGTTGAGCTGCTCCTGCAATAGAACGACAAATAACTGGGTGACATGCTGTGAAAAATTTAGAAAATGAGAGATGCTATCCCATTTTCCAAACAGAGCAGAAAGAACACTAATTCCGTTAGGCAAGATGGAACAAACAATTAAACTGGGCATGCTTTTAATTTTGGAGCTCACCAGAGAACGGACGCCTTTTTCAAATGTAACGACTGTGGAAGTGATTCCTTTAAAATGAAGCAAAACCACTGATTTTCCTTGCTCAAATTAAAGCATTTACCTCATACAAAGTATAAGAAATGTTACCTGTTGCCTCCACCATTCCTTCTAGGATTACAACAATTTCTAGCTCCTCTTTGGGCAACTGGGCTTTGGAAATCTCCCAGAAAGGACTCTGCTGGTTAATCTCATGGCTGATGATCAGTGGTGAAACCAAAAAGAGACGATCATCCCCTGTGTAATAACCTACGTTGATATCTGTCTGGTTGAGTGGTATAAATTCCCCCTCCTTTGTCTGTTTGGATTTGATCAACTTGGCTCGTATTGATGCCTCTACAATGTGTGAATTCCTAAGGTCTCCTACTCGGAACATCAGACACAGCTTTCCATCCCGCATGGAAATGACTGCGTTTGTAGAAAAAACCAAGGTTTCTGCCCTCTTCTTGGGTTGGGATATTTTCACAAACATGCAGCCAACCATGAAGGCGTTGACGATAGAACCTAGGACAGACTGCACTAAAAGCAGGATAATTCCCTCGGGACACTTGTCCGTGATGACCCGGTAACCGTACCCAATGGTGGTTTCGGTCTCGATTGAGAATAAAAAGGCTGAGACAAACCCATTGAGGTTGCTGACGCAGGGGGTCCACGTGCTGTCCCCTATGTGATCCATGTCCCCTCGCATGTAGGCAATGAGCCACCAGATCATGCCGAAGAAGAGCCAGGTCACCGTGTAAACCATGACAAAGATCAGCAGGTTGAACCTCCACTTGAGATCCACCAGGGTGGTGAAGATGTCAGTCAAGTACCGGTAAGTCTCTCTGACATTCCCGTGGTGGACGTTGCATTTCCCATCTTTCCGAACGTACCTCTGGATTTTCCTCTTGGCACATTCTTTGCTGATGTTTTTTGGCAGATCCTCTCTTGCTTGTTTGGGCAACTTTGGTTGATGGATTGTGACAGGGCTCTCGATGTCCTGCTCCATTGAGTCTTCTTCCAGGACGTTGGCTGCCGTGGAAAACAAAAAAGCATGGAAGAGTCATTATCCCTCTTTTTATTGCTCTAAGTCAATACACAACCTTTTCCTGTGTTAATCAACAAAATTATCATCCTGATCCTTTGCTAACACAAAAATCAGATGCCAAGCACCCTCATTTTACTGCTCTGCAGAAATAAAATGAAAGCAAACTCTTGTTTCTTATCAGGCCATCCTATCCCCACCCATATTTAAATTCCACAAGATGGGTTTAAGCAGATATTCCTTCCCCCCTCGCCCCTTTGCAGTTTAATGAATGAAATTTTTTATGCACCAAGAAAGATCTTACGGAGATAAAAGATATAAATGAGGGAATGGATTCACTTGGGGCTGAGCAGAGAAAATGAGCTATTGCTGAGCTATTTTTTCATCAATTGCATTGCTGTGGGGAAAGTATTGAATAAGTACAAGGAGGGATTTTTTTTTTAAAAAGCCAACAGTTTTTAGAAAGAACCAATTCTCCTCTTGTGGAAGGGAAGTTGTAATATCTATCAAGAGCAATTCAAGCACACTTCCACAGAAAATCAATGTCTTGCTGATAATGAGACAAGGAATTGTGTGTCCTTCTCCCAGCAACGTAAAACCTATGGTACTTCAGATTTCATTTGAATTCACTGTGCCTGTGGCCTTTAATTCAAGTGTACCTTGTCCTCTAATGATCTGGGCTTTTCTTTTAGTTTCCCAGCCTTTAGAGATAAATAGCTTTATTATGGCTGTGTGCCAGGGAAAAAAAAGAGTGTACTGAGGAGGAGAGTGTTTTAATCGAATGTGTTTTGCATGGAGCACATGGTGAGGTCTGGGGTAATTGTTGTTTTCAACTGAAATCCTTCTGTTTTCTGGGGCTTCTTCCTGCAGGAATTTCAGCTCTTGAATTCCTAACTCCTTCCCTTCTGGCTAGCTGCTGTCATTCTTCTGCCGGACTGTAAAGGGAAAAGTGTTCTGGTGGGTCTGCCCAGGTGCTTGACTCTGAATACAGAATTTCAGAATGGTTTGGGTGGGAGGGAACCTTAAAATCACCCAGTCTTCACCTCATGCTATGGTCAGGGACACCTTCCACTATCCCAGGTTGCTCCAAAATCTGTCCAGCCTGGACTTGAACACTTCCAGGAATGGGGCAGCCACAGCTTCTCTGGGTGCCTTGTGCCAGGGTCTCATTTCTCTCACAGGGAAGAATTTCTTCCCAATATCCCATCTAAAAAGCAGCACTGCTGTGATTTTGTACCATTCTTTACGGAGTGTTGCACAAGGGGCTGCTCTCAGAGGGTTAGTGTAGCTCTAAAAGTCTCTTTCACTCCTAGAAACATATGTGTGGAGTCTCACAGCACCTGCAGCTTTTTCAAGATGTGCAGGTTCATCCCTGTAGAGAAAGATCACAGCCCCTTGAAGAGTTTTATTGAGATATTCAGGGGGAAAAAAGGGCTGTAGCCCAGTTGTCTCTCCTCCTGACCTGCTCCTCTTTCAAAGAAAGTCTCAAAGCCCTAGAGTAGCACAGAATCTGAGAGCAATTCCATGTTTTAAGGCCATGCACCCCATCCTGTCACCTTTTCAGTTTGCTGTGTGTCTCAGGAGAGCCTTCTCAGGGCTGCTGGGAGCTGTGTGACAGGGCCCTGGGTTCTGAATGAGCTGCCCCAGTCAGTGACAGTGTGCCTGCTTGCATTATCCCTGATGCTGGGGAATGCATGACAAAACACAATCCAAAGGCGTTGCAGGGTCTTTGTGAGGCAGACTTAAGCTAAAGCCAGAAAATCTGAAGTTAAGGCTTCACATTTTCTGCTCAGCTCTCCGTTGTGCCTAAGGAAATTCCAGTCCACAGGAGCTATCACATCACTGCAGCAACAGAATCCTCAAATAATTATGAACAACCTCTGAAGGCTCTGGCTTTTGAGGCTTTATGTTAAACTACTAATGCTGATATAATGGGGTTCATTATCTTTCAGGCATTATGAATAATTTGCTTTCCCCTCCCCATCAGAGCCTGGCATGGACACAGAGACCAGGAGTGGGAGAATCCTGTTGGTTTAGAGAATGTTCCTTACTCCTGGCCCTGCTGTTAAAGGGAATCATGTCCCAAACCTCCCTGCCTGAGCATCCCTTAACAGAAATTATCCTGGGAGGGGACCCAGGTGCTGATTTTATTCCTGGCAGCAGGAGGAATGTGAAGGGACATCCCAGGGCTGCCCTCCCACTACACCACTCCTGCTTTCCATACAGTGCTTATTTCCAATGGAGCTCCTTTGAGCAGTGAAGCACCTTTTATTCAGACAGAAATTTTTTACTGATGCTTTCCAAACGCTCTCTGTGAATTTTGTGCATCACAAACAGCCTGACCTGGCTTCACAGCATGAGAGAAGGGCCACATTTTGTCAAGAGTCCATGGGTTTTGTGGGAGCAGGGAGCTGCTGTCACAGTAAGTGGGATAAGCTTGTGACAATTCCAGCGTGGGAGGGTTTTTCTTCATCTGGAGAAATTGTAGTGGAGCTGGTTCAGGCTTTGGACAACAAACCCAGGGTTTAACCAAGGTCTCTCTCATTACAGCATTTATTTGACACTCTTGAAGACATTTCAATCTTCCTGAGGGCATCTGGCCATTTCTAAACTTTCCAGGCTCTTCCCAGTGCTGTCATTTCTCAATTCTCAGTCTCTGAGAGGAAAAAATTAAGGTCAAGTTTTTTTCCTTTTTTCCAAGATGCCCTTTCCTTCTTTCCCTCACCCAATCCTGCTATGAATGAATTCCTTTGTGGAGAGGTTTCTGGATCAGAAGCACAGTTTGTTACTCTCCCCTGGACTGAGTTTTCACTCCAGAGAGAACCTTGGGAGCAGCAATTCCCAAAATAAGTGATCCAAAGGTTATGCATCTGTGTGTTTCCATGGAAATGCCTGATGAATAAGTTTTAAACACATGGCAGGATCCCTGTTCACCACTGAGGCTGAGGAACAGCCACATACTGTCAGTGCCTTTGCCACAAAATACTTTGACTAATTATATTTTTACTTGATATCAACCCAATTAACTTCTGCTGTTTATTTAATCTAATTTTCCTTTTGGTTACATAATGGCTGTCATGGATCCAGGAACAGGGGAGTGAGTAGCAGCAGCCTCACTTGAGAGCTATTTTTGCTCTCTCTGCTTTTCTTCCTGACAAAAATATATACATATTATTAATCTGCACTGCAAAAAAAAAAAAAAAAAGAAAAAAAAAAAAGGTATTTCTGAACTCTTCCTCCTCCCCCAGTGAACATTATGTTTGTTTGAGCACAACAGCCAGGTAACGAGCCAATTCAGGCCAATTTAGAGGATTTTGTTATAATTATCTGCTTTGGTTACTCTCTGAGGCAAAGCCTACAAGACATATGAGATTTCAGTGATTTGTTTAATTTCTCAGCAAATGACAAGGAGTTCTCCTAAACAAGTCCCTGAATACTTCACTTGTGTCCTGGCTGTAGCCAAATTAGCTAATTAAGTGTGCCCAGACTTATTATTTAGCGTGGAGGGTAAAGAGTGGTGCAGCCACACTTGGATTATTGAACTCCAATTGTTTTGCAGGCAGGTTAGTGTCATACAATCTGCCCAACAGGAATAATCTGTGTCCTGAAATGGAGCCAGGAATTGTGTGTGCTCAGTTCTGCACTGGTGCAAATCATACCAGGGGCTTTTCCAGAAATTTCACCTTGCAGGGGGTTGTGTGCTAGCGCTCAGAACATTTTATTTTCTAGTAAAATTGCAGCAAATGTTGTTGTCATGTTCTTCTCTACTCCAAAGCAGCACTGGAAAGGCACAGTCCTGATTTTCCAAGCACATCCTTTTATTTAGAGCCTGTAGAACAACATGGAACCAGAGTCAACAAGAAACCCTTCCTCTCTTCCTTTGAGGCTGGGAATGTAACACATCAATATGACCCTTAAGCAACCATTCTATCATCAGCAATGTGATTTTGGGAGTATTTTGGTAATGCTGCAGAGAACTCCTTGTGGTGCTGTGCAAACACAAAGCAAAAGAAAGGATATGAAAGGCCTGCTTGTCCAAATTAAGTACTGTAGGATTATTTTGGTTGTGTATGATTTGCAAAATAATGAGGAGTTTCAACGGAGAATATTGCAAATCATAGCTGACCTTTCTGTAACAGAAGCTGACCTAGAAAGTTCTGTGGACATTTCACTGCAATTTAGTGATTTTAACTTTTGTAACACAGTTGTGAACATTTTATGTGCAAATTCATTGAAAATGTCCTAATTTCCAAAATCATTTACCATCTAAAAATTGCTCTCATGGGCTTCACTGCATGCAGAGAAATGTGTTGAGCAGACACTGTGATTCCTGTCTGCATTCCCCCTTTTCCTGGTGGGATGAGGGCCATTTTAAAGTGAAGCAGGTGTTTGCATCTCTAAGGTCCAAATTTGGCTTTTAGGAAGTCTCGAGTGTTTTACCTCTCATTTACTGTGGTCCCCAACCTCCCTGGCACTGCATCCATGTGTGGAATATCTGGCAGGACCTGGTGGCTGTCTGAGCTCCCTGTGGGGTTGTTGGGCTTTGCACAGCACAAGGAATTTCTTGCAGCCTTCAACATCCTAAATCTGCATTGTTCTATTTGTCTTCTCGATTGCAATGGAGAAGTCAGAGAAGGGAAGGAGGGATTTTGGAATGCTTTGCCTCATCTCTGGATGGCTTTTGTTTCAGAGCTCTGCAAAATCTTATTTGTGATGAGCACAGAGGACACAGGAACAGAGGAATTCTTGGAATAGAGGGAGATTTGTTGGTGGGATGAGCCCAGATAATCCACACTGCAAAGCACCACAAGATGTGAGGAGGAAGAGTCTTGTTTAGAGAAAAAAAAGTGGAGTCTTTTATGATCAGCTAACAACTGTAAGCAGTCATTATCACAGAGCACAGATCCTTTTCCGTGGAAAAGAAAGGAATTAGGATCTGGTCCTGTGCTGTTAAATCAATGCAAGATTGTCTGTTCACTCAGCTGGA